ATTTCAATATAACAATCACACAGAAACTCTGCAGGACTTTTCTCCTTAGGAAAATTATTCAGGAAAAGTAGAAAAAGAGCAAATGGGGGACTGGGGAAGTAGCTCAGGGACAGAGCACTTACCCAGCATGCATGAGACACTGGGTTCAATCTCCAGCATTACCACCTTGCCCATGCCAAACCACACACAGACACACACACACACACACACACACACACACACACACACAAAAACACTGAAGGTATTACCTACTGGAGGACCCTGAATGATTGAATGCCAACCTGCCAGGAAAGATGCAACCACTGGTACAAAAATAGCATGAAGGTTATAAGGGTAAAGAATGATTTTCACCTTGGATTTAAGGCCTGTTCCATGGAAGGAAATCCATACCTGGTACTGTACACCTAGCCAAAGCCCATGGCTCGGATGCCATATGCCCTAGGAGGGCTCTACTCTCTGTTTTACTAAATGAACACGTTGTCAAACTGCCTTATAAACATTTACATTTATACACATAGATTTGTGCTGTTCTCAACCTTGACCAGAGAAACTTCTTTTGCAGTTGGTAGCAGTTAATGCAGAGACATGTAACTGGTCAAAGTGCCAAGAATAGGTGACTGTTGAGTGCTCAGCCTTAAATGAAACATCTTTGTCAACCCACCCAAGGTTTAGGGAACATCACGGAAGTGGGGCAGAAAGAATGTAAGAGTCAAAGGATGGGGAGGAATGAAGTGGAGTGCTGTCTTCTGGGCATGACATGGTGACATGGCCATTTCACTCACAAACTCACTGCAGCTGCTGTCACCGGCACAAGATCAAGCCAGGAAGAACAGTCAACATTCCAGCAGGCAACACTAATTGGACCCAGTGGGTTACAAACAAACAAACAAATAAACAAACAACAAAAAACTCAGAAGACATGAAGGTTGGAGGGGGACATGTTGAGGGGAGTGGGAGAGAGAGTTGAGGGTGTATATGATCAAATACAGTATATACATGTATGAAATTTTCACACATTAAGTTATACATATAAAATGTGGGGAGCTGGAGAGATGGCTCAGTGGTTAAGAGCACTCACTGTCTACTCTTGCAGAGGACCCAGGTTTGGTTTCCAGCACCCACATGGCAGTTAACAACTATCTATAACTCCAATTCCAGGGTATCTGATGCCCTCCTCTGACCTCCATGGGCACTGTACAACATGGGTGCACTTACATACATGCAGGCAATACATTCATACACACAAAAAAAATTATCTTTTTAAAAGTGTGACACAAGTAGAAGCTTGAAAACAGTATGTACACCAGAGGCTGTCCTGTCCAGTCCTGTCCTGCTGTGTCCACACTGGAGGCTGTCCTGTCCTGATGCATGCACACTGGAGGCTGTCCTGTCTTGACCTGCTGTGTGCACACCAGAGGCTGTCCTGTCCTGTCCTGTCCTGCTGTGTGCACACCAGAGGCTGTCCTGTCCTGTCCTGTCCTGTCCTGCTGTGTCCACACTGGAGGCTGTCCTGTCCCATCCTGATACATGCACACTGGAGGCTGTCCTGTCCTGTCCTGATGCATGCACACTGGAGGCTGTCCTGTCTTGTCCTGCTGTGTGCACACCAGAGGCTGTCCTGTCCTGTCCTGTCCTGCTGTGTCCACACTGGAGGCTGTCCTGTCCCATCCTGATGCATGCACACTGGAGGCTGTCCTGTCCTGTCCTGTCCTGCTGTGTGCACACCAGAGGCTGTCCTGTCCTGTCCTGTCCTGCTGTGTGCACACCAGAGCTCCTGTCCTGTCCTGTCCTGTCCTGTCCTGCTGTGTCCACACTGGAGGCTGTCCTGTCCCGTCCTGATGCATGCACACTGGAGGCTGTCCTGTCCTGTCCTGTCCTGTCCTGCTGTGTCCACACTGGAGGCTGTCCTGTCCCGTCCTGATGCATGCACACTGGAGGCTGTCCTGTCCTGTCCTGTCCTGTTGTGTCCACACTGGAGGCTGTCCTGTCCTGTCCTGCTGTGTGCACACCAGAGGCTGTCCTGTCCTGTCCTGTCCTGCTACATGCACACCGGAGGCTGTCCTGTCCTACTGTGTGCACACCCTGGAGGCTGTCCTGTCCTGTCCTGTCGAAGCTGTCCTGTTTGCAGGCACTCTTGGATCAATATCAGTGAATTGAGTATTATTTCAAAAGGATTCAGAGGTAGACAGAAGAATATGTATGAATACTGCTGAACAGGACTAATTCTCTAAAACACAATAGTGATGAACAGACACTACATTTTTTTTCTTTTTTTTTTTTGTCTTTTTGAGACAGGCTCTCCCTGTAGCCCCAGCTGGCCTGGAACTCACTATGTAGAACAGTCTGGCCTTGAACTCACAGAGATCCACCTGCCTCTGCATCCCAAGTGCTGGGACTAAACACGTGCGCCACCACACTGAGAGCTACTTTTTTTTTTTTTTTTTAAAGAAATGCTCAAGTACATGACAAGTAGCTTAAGTTAAAGTCTTTTTACTCTAAAATTAGAAAAAGCAGGTTTTTCTGTGATTGGGGCTAGGAAGAATTACCAACACTTTTAAACAAAAAAAAGTTTTAGGCTATAATAAAATTTGCTAAAATCTTCTGTAAGAAAAAGTTCAGAAAAACAGAAAGCAAAGGGGGTAATGTTTAAAACAAAGCTGTGCTCAGACGGGTTTACCCTGCTTTCATCTTACCCAAAGACCTGTCCACGAGCACGGAAAGTAACCCAAGATTCTCAGCAGCACTTTTCCTTCTATCAATTTAAAAGAATCTATGTTAAGCAGAAACACTATTTAAGTGCCCTAGTAAAGAAAACAGATTCTAAAGTGAAACCTAAACCGTTTCACCAAATACCTGGGAAAGCTTGAGGGACTGTGACTTTAGAGGATGCGCATGTGGAAATGTGGAAGGCTGACATACTGCTGAGTCTCCCCAGTTTCTAGTATTTAGTGAGAAATTCCCAGACCACAGGCAGGCAGGCAGGCCGCTGCTAGAGGCAAAAGGGATTCTAAATTGCTCTTCAGTATTCTTAACCTTGAGTGTGCACTTAAGTTGCCTAAAAAGCTCTTTTTTCACTTTTAATACCACTGCCTGGACTTTACCCAAGATCAATTAAACCAGGATCCCTGGTATGTAGCCCAGGCATTAGTATTTTTTTAAAGCTCCCCAAGGGTCTAATGTGCAGCCAGGGCTGAGACCTACTAAATAACTTTAAAAATGCTGAGAAAGGTAAACAGTGACTATAATTACTCTCCGTGTGTGTGTGTGTGTGTGTGTGTGTGTGTGTGTGTGTGTGTGTGTGTGTATACTTCAGTGGTGACAGGAAAGAATATTTTAGTGAGATAATTATTTTAAGAATTTCATACATGCATATACCATGTTTTGATCAAGTCTACCCCCCCATCCATCCCCTCCAATTCCTCCCAAGCGCTCCATGTTTCATGTTCTTTTTCTTCTAATGCTGCCAGTGTGTGCATAGCCATAGGGCCATCTACTGGACTGGACTCTCAGGAACCACATCCCCGAAGAAAATTGACTCTCCCTCTCCCAGCAGCCATCTATTCCCCCTCAGTGAGTGGTGGGACTCCATGATCATCTCCCCACTCCACACTGAGATTTTGTCTGGCTTGATCTTGCACAGGTCTTGTGCATGCTGTCAGAGCTGCAGTGAGTTCCTACTGTCCTGCTGTATCCAGAAAAGTTGCACTGTAGTCATCCACTGCCTCTGGCTCTTGAACTCATAAAACTCCATCTTTTGTGAAGGTCCCTGAGCCTTGGGTAGGGGGTGTGAGATAGGTGGTAGGGAGATAAAATTGTTTTGCTAATGCTCTTCTAATGTGCCTGCCCTCTAGTATATGATGCTGAAATCCGTCAGGAGTGACACCATTTACTGCATACTTACCTGGTACCAATCACTGTGCTGGGCAATGCCTCATCTCACAACCCCCCCCCAACTCTGACAAACACATTATCACTGATCTCCATTATTCTGTAAAAACAGTGATTAAACCATTAGCTCAGGCCAGCTGACAAGAAGGAACCTATTTACCCATCACAGAGCAAGCAGGGACAGAACTAGAAGCACAGCCTACATGCGCTACTTACAAAGCTGTACCTTTTTACTTTCTTCTCATTGTGTATTGATGTGTTGAGATGTAATACAGTAACACACTTTGCAAGTTTGCAAGGGGTAAATGCTCACATAGCATACACAAGGCATATAAGTAATTAATCTCATTCATCATTTTTTCCTGTCATGAATGAAGTCAGGCACACCTAACGATTAGCCATCTTTGACTCCTATCACTTAGACATCAATTCCTTTCCCTGGAGACAAGGTTAGTTTCTTGTTCATCTTTCCAAAGTTATTTAGTAAACATAAAACAAACATATGCAAGCATGTGTGTGTAAACACCATATAATTGGGTCTCCCCCCTCATTTTAAATAATGGCAGCAACAGCCACATACTATTCTGCATGGTTTTGGTTTTGTTCCACAATCACAGAAATCTTAGAGATAATTCCATTTCAGTGTCTACGTATTTTTAAATTCTATCTTGAACCACATAGCATTTCGATATGCAAATGTCATTACTTTATCTAGCCCCTGAGTGATAGCCATCAGACTATTTCTAGTTATTTGCTGTTATCAAAATGTTAGAATAAGCTTAAGCTACAAAATCCTCTATGTCCACAGACAATTACACCGGTGCAATAAGTTCCCAGATGCTAAAAGCTATGCCCTTTTCACTGTTCTATGCTACCTCAGGCTTCTAAGAAACAACCCACAGCCAGACTCAGTATGATTTCTATTTACTTTATTCAAAAATTTTACCTAAATATCCAAAGCATGCTTTTCATTTTAATAAAAAATTAGAAATTTTTTTTCCTCCCAGAATATGCTCAAGACCAAGATAGTCTTCAGGAATGGTTTCAAGCCAAAGAAAAATGTCTTCATATGCATCGTGCTGGCTCTCTTTCCACTCAGAATGTGTCTGTCCCCGAGGACTCCATGTCGGCCTGGATGATGCTGACGCTTGGGGACTGAGAGCAATCCTCAAAGTTCGCAGAGGGCAGCATCACAGACATCTTGGTGGGTGACGTCTGTGAAGTGAAGAGTGGCACTGGCCCAGCACCTGCACAAAGGAGAAAGGCCTTCAGTGACACCAGCACAACCTGCCTGTGAGTGTGCTTGTCTCTTTCCAAATGACTCCAGAGAGAGTCAAAACATGGGTCTGCACAGGAGGAACTTCTCAAGTTGCTCAGAACTGGTCAGAAATAAAATACACTTTCCCCTTTACTATTTAGTGCTTAGGGGAAACATTTTTAAAAGGAATCAAGTGCTAAAAGTTGTGGTATTTGTCTTTTTTTTTTTTTTTTTTTTTTTTTTTTTTTTTTTTCCAGCCAGCTGGCCTTGAGAGAGGGACTAGCTGGGAAGAAGGGGGTCAGCAAGAGTGGGAGGGGATAAAAGATGGTAATGGAAGTGACTATGATCACAATACACTGTATAAATGTATAAAATTGTCAAAAAAAAGCTTTAAAAGTTTTTTTATAAAGTCATGATACAGATGCTAAGTAAGCGCAGACAGTTTTATAAAACCTAGTCACTAAAATCCAGTTTAACCTCTTATTGACCTTGTGATTTCAGCCAAGTTATTTTACCACTCAAAAGTTCCATTTCTTCATATGTTAAATGGGATAAGAGAACCTGCCTGGCAGAGTATATGAGGAAAGACAACCTCAACAACACAGCTTATAATGGTTGTTGGTATCAATTAAAACTACAAAAAATCCACTGCAGTTAAGTGCTCAATAAAGAACTACTATTGCCATAGAGACCTCTACTGTTGTGGCTGGAGAGATGGCTCAGCGGCTGAACACTGGTTATTCTTGCAGAAGACCCGGGTTCAAATCCCAGCACCCACATGGCAGCTAACAACTGTCCATACTCCAATTCCAGGGGATACAACAGCCTCCTCTGACCTCCATGGGCATTGCACGACATGGGTGCACTTACCCATATGCAGGCAATACACACACGTAAAATAAAAATAATAAATAAAAAATGTTGAAAAAAAAAGGGGGGAGCTGGAGAGATGGCTCTCGGGTTTGATTCCCAGCACCCACATGGCAGCTACGAACCATCCTTAGGGGACTCCAACGCCCTCTTCTGACCTCCCCAGCACTGCACGATGTGGGTGTACTCACATACATGCAGGCAATACACTCATACACATAAAACAAAAATAATAAATAAGAATTTTTTTTAATTTTTTTTTACAATTAAAGTTACAGTTTTAACAATATGCAAAACATTATAGTAATTCAGATTTTTTGGCATAATGATTACAGATTTGATAACTACATTTTATATCTCATAATAGCGATGAAGATTATACAAAAGCTATTAAAACAATTATAAGAATAAATTCAATTGTCACTTAATTATCTAAAGCTATTTTCCTTTGCGTTCTTCCAGAATGATTTGTTCTTAAGAATATATATTTTTTTAAAAAGAACTCTGCTTTCATTATTCCCCACTTGGGAGAAAGCACTGTAAGAGCACTAAAGTAAAAGTTTGCTATTAATTATAGAATGACTTTTTAAAAAGATGCGGCATGTACAGAGTATTTGAAGCCGGGTGTGGGCACAGGCTTCTGTCCCCAGCACGAGGGAGGCTGAAGAAGGAAGATGGTGAGCTTGAAGCAATCACTTAAAAACTAAAAATAAAAAATTCCAAATTGAAGTCCAACGTCAAAGCACTTTGCTTTTCCTACTTCTACTAATGGACCCACAGCTCAGGGTGACAGTGCTGCCAATCACTGTGGAGTGCCTAATGGCACTACGCTGCTAGTTAACAGATCATCACAATGTCAAGGAAAAAATACTGACGTGGTCATTCAAACATTATTGACATTTGACTTGGAAAGCATTTTCTTTTCTGTAAATGGTACTTTTCTTCATTATATTTACATTTAATTAAGTATGAAAACATATTCCACTCCATGGATTGTGAGCAATATTAGACTGCCTGACACAGAAGCTGTCTGGCAGGCAGAGAGAGGCAGTTTGGCATAAAGCATATACATGTATTTTTGAAAATCCAGAGCTGATCACACACTTTACATCTATCAGTTCATACCTTAATTCACTCCTCTAAGTTTACAGCATATAACTTAAAAATGTAAAGAATGTCAACTTGTCATCACTTAAAACTACAAGTATTAAACTTTAAATTCATGTGTTTACCAAAGACGGTAAGAAACATCTTAGAAATAAATCATCTTTAAAGCCCTAATGACACCTCTGAATCAAGAAATCACAGTAACTTTCTAAAAGCTTTTTTGTTCTTCAAGTAGTTGACACAGTAATGAAGGGGATGTTCCACTCAGTTTTCCTAGGGGCCACAATACAAGAGGCCAGTTCTGGAGAACTCAGTGACGACTCACCCACAACTGCCAAAAAGGTGACACTTGTAAACTGCAAATTCTCCTATCAGGAAGCCTAATAACTATCTTAAATACTGTACCATTCCTTTGGGTTACTTGTATTAAATCCAATTCTTTTAATAAAGAGAGATAAGGTCTGGCACCATTATACCTGTATCACAAACTACAGTGCCATCATAGTCAAGAAGAAAGGAATTCTTGTATCAATCTGAATAGAAAAAAATGTATTTTAAAAATATTTTATCTATTTTTATTTTATATGTATGAGTGTTATGCTTGCATGTATGAAGTGCACCCATGTTCTGCAATGCCCACAGAGGTCAGAAGAGGGCTTTGGATCCCCTGGAACTGGAGTTACAGATGGTAGTTAGCCACCATGTGGGTGATGGGAACTGAAGTTGGGTCCTCTACAAGAGCAAGCCAGTGCTCTTAACAAACGAGCCATCTCTCCAGTGAGAGAACAAATACTTTTAAAGGACTCTGAAATTTACCCCTATCAAGATAGGATAAAAATTAAAATTAAGAAACATTAAAGGGGCTGGAGAGATGGCTCAGCAGTTAAGAACACTAGTTGTTCTTACAGAAGACCCGAGTTGAATTCCAGCACCCACATGGCAGCTAACAACTGTCTGTAATTCTAGTCCCAGGCGATCCGACAGCCTCTTCTGATCTCCCTGGCATTGCACGACATGGGTGTACCTACCTACATGCAGGCAATACACTCATACACACAAAATAAAAATAATAAAAATTTAAAAAAAAGAAGCCGGGCGTGGTGGCGCACACCTTTAATCCCAGCACTTGGGAGGCAGAGGCAGGTGGATCTCTGTGAGTTCGAGGCCAGCCTGGTCTACATAGTGAGCTCCAGGCCAGCTGGGGCTACAGGGAGACCCTGTCTCAAAAAGACCAAAAAAAGAAACATTAAAAACTACATTTTAAAATCTTTATAAGAAATAAACATTATTAAAAAACATCTATATTTTACAAAGCCATGACACAAAGCATTCAAAATAACCAAGAGAAACATCCAATATCATAGCTTCCTTTGCAATAAAGTTAAAAATTAGCACAGGATTATAACTAAAGTCTACAGTGAATAAATGTTCTGTTCATACAATCAATCCAATCTTATCTTCCTCAGTTATTCTGAAGAAAAACTCCATCCCTTAAGTTACTCAATTATATTGATGCCAGGTATTTTTTGTTATCTAATAAAACTTTTCTGTATATACACCTTCATTTTATCTCTATGCATAAATTTACTCATTAAATTGTTCAACATGTGAACTTCTTATTTTGAAGAAATAGCTAAGTCACAAGAAAAATTATGTTATTTCTTATAGCTGTTGCCTTATATTTACATAGCAATTCAAAAAAGAAAACGTTTCCCCATCATCTTATCTGATTCTAATAGTAATTCTGTGGGATAAACAAGATAAGCAAGGCGTATCAATGTTTCAGTGGCTTTAAAAGGCATGCGCTGACTACACATCCACATGAACCTGCTGTGCACATAGAGCTAAGATGGTGCAGAGGGATAAGAAGCTGGAAAGATGAGTCCCCTCTCAAAATACGCCTAATCGCATGGGGCTCAGGTAAAATTATGTGAAAGCAGCCCTTGAGTGTGAGCTTAAAAGATGTTAAGGAGCCTGGCATGGTAGTGCGCACTTTTAATCCCAGCACTCAGGAGGCAGAGGCAGGCAGATCTCTGTGAGTTCAAGGCCAGCCTGGTCTATATAGTGAGTTCCAGGCCAGCTGGGGCTACAGGGAGACCCTGTCTCAAAAACAACAAAAAAAAAAAAAAAAAGCCATTAGGAAGGCAATAAAGGAAAGGAGAACAAAATGGAAGGCTTAAGCTCACAATGTGTAAGGGAGCTCTGAGTATTCTGGTATCAGGTACTGGATTGACAGAATGGTAAGAGATCTTGAGCACTGAAGAAAGGCAGGCCTGCAGAAAGTGGAGAAATCGCAAAGAAATTTGAAGCAAAGAATAATATGAACAAATGTATTTTAGAAAAGATAATTATAAAAGTAAAGAGAGAGAAAAGGGGTCTGTGGCAATGGTTCAAGTAGAACTGGCAACCCTTAACAGTCAAATAGAGTCAGGCTATTTGTGGGGAGATGTGGTACTTACAAAGCAATGAGCTTGGTGCTGAAATGACAGATCTGGCTGACTGCATGGAGAGTACTGAGAACATGAACATATCTGAGGGCTGTGGAGGTATACAGAGAGGCAGAGACATGAGGCCAGCTATCTCCTTGATGAAGACAGATGTCTACAAGACGTGTGAATGGATTTTTCTAGCAGGCAATTGGAGTTCATGCTTTCAAAGACTCTACAACAGTTTTAAAAAGAAAGGTGAATTAAAAAAAAAACAAAAACGTAAAGGGAAGTATCAGAGAGATATCCTAAAGGAGACCTAGAGGAGTGGAGAGGAGCGGGGTTTGCGAGAACTAGACGGGAATCCGATAACATGTTTACATGGGGCTGAAACCCAGAAAGCTCTCAGTGGCTCTTACTCACTCTTAGTAGCACACAGGAACCATTCCAAGAGACACTGACCATCAGAGTAGGCTACAAAAAGCACTCTGCTCTAGGGAGAATGATAGGTATGCTACATGGAAATGCAACAAGAAAAACAAAAAGGAGGGCTAGGGGTTAGCTCAGTTGGTAGAGCGCCTGCCTGGCATGCATGAGGCCTGGTGTTTGATATGTACTCCACACAAATCAGGTGTGGTACTGAACCCTGTAATTCCAGCACCCTGGAGGTGGAGGCAGGAGGATCAGAGTTCAGCCTGGGCTATATGAGACCTTGTCCAAAACAAATAAACACATACACAACAACAACAAACATCCCAAGTGCTCTGGAAGGCTTTCAAATAGTTGTGCTATCATCATTTTAAACTCTAGTGAACTATGTCTTCGTAAAAAAATTATATCAATAAAATGCACATCTTACATAAAGGTATTTACTAATACACATTTTGGAAAGATTTTTAAGTTTATTTAAACAATTAAATAATCAAGCTTTAGAATTTTAAAAGAACATTTTAAAAGGAACATAAAGCATCATTTGATTACTGATAATGGAAAAAAAGGGTAATATTCACAGCTAGTTATGGCTGTCACAGTGTTAAAAAAATCTTTAAAGAAATAATATCTCAATAAATCACCATTAAAACAAAAATAAATCTTCTACCTATATTAAATGTAGTTTGGTGCTTTCAAAGTTTGACTTTAAAATTTCCACAGTTGAGAGTCATTACGCTATGATCTAATTGTTTCAACAGCTGCTTTCAAGACAAAAAAAAAGATGCTCCCTTGATTCCATGAGTTTGCAGTATATCATTAAACCTGGCAAGCATGGAATCCAGAGATACCACAGAGCAAGGCTTTTTGCTTTATATACTTTTCAGGCATTCAAAATACTAAATTTTTGCTTTAAGATATTGAAAATCCATAAAGAAATGTTTTTTTTTGTGCATTGATGATGGACTAAAGAACTAAAAAACACAAAAACTAAATGTAATTTAAAGCAACACAGGTAATGATATGGGATTTTTTTAAAGTTCACTTAGATATACTTACATGTTTTATACATATTTTAGAAACATAATAAAGCTTTCATAAGCCTTTCAGGTTTAGAGCATCCATTTTATCAACAGGTAATGGATTTTGAGTCTAAATCTTGAACACTTGGTGATCCATTATTACATCTCTGCTATTTGCAAACTGAGAGGAATCTAAAGAAAGCAATGTCTCTGAAAACAACATGGGACAGAGGAAAAAGAATCTTTTTCTTGGTAATTTCACAGCACCACAAATGTCTCATCCTGACATGTACACAGGGCTCAAGACACAGGTATTATGAGTTCTTCAAGATGATTGTGTTGTGGGATGATTTACAATTGCCTCCATTTTGGTTTTTTCTACATGTAGATAAAGGGGGTTTCTTATTCATTGTGAAGCTTCCTTATGTAATAGAGGGCAATGAGCACAAAAGGCCGCAAATGGCCAAAGTGTAGAGAATAAGAGTCTGCAGACTGTGGGTCCATGGACAGGACTCTTATATTAAACTCCACCCACTCAGAGCAGAAGAGGGGGCAGGAAGATTGTGAAAACCAGGGAGGAGGTACATGACCCTAAGGAAACAGTCTTAAAGGCTCTGGGGTCCTTGCTTATATGAACTTACAGCAATGGTATCAGCGTGCATAAGACCCATGCAAAGTCAATCAGATAAAAATCCAGCAGAGAATTGGTGAAATGGACAGCAGACCCCAATCTTAGTCAAAGAATTATTGGCAGCTGATTACTGCTGGATGAAAGAGAGTTGATCTTCTTTAAGGGAGACACCCTAGATAGGCTGACTAGACCCCAGTGTATAAACTTGTACCGAGGGACGTCTGGGTACACTAATTTGACTTGAGAGGCCTTATATGACAGAATGCATGAAATGTGGTGGGAGGGGGTTTTATGGGAGGGCAGATGGGAGAGGGGGTATAAAGATGATTATGTTTTGTATCAAAATCCACAAAAATTCAATTAAAAATATACATTAAAAAATCTTACAATTAAAAAAAAGCCAAGTGCAAGAATCTTTAATCCAGGTATATCAAGGATTCTAATCCAGGTAATAATCCATGAAGGATTCTAACCTAGGGCCCATGGACAGGTGACTGGAGAGCTATCAATACTTTAAAACTATGAGCATTATTTCATGTAGGTAGAATTTGGCAATCAGATGGGTAGTCACAGCTTTCAATGTCTGAAAAGGATCTGACTCCCAATTGAAGGATGCCACAGCCCTGGGGGCAAGTGAATCACATTTTCTGAGGTGCTCCTCTCCTGCTAATGGTGGATGCAACTTGACAGCAGCACTTACCAAATTGCATTGTAATTATTTCTTCATGTCTGTCACTTCCACTAGATAAAGTATTTCCTGAAAGTGAGGACAGGGACTTGTCTTGTTTTCTGAGTGACCAGCACAGTAGGTACAGCTTGTAGCCTGTCTGTTAAATATGTGCTACACTGGGCCAGTGATTGTCTTACTTGCATCTGCTTTCTTCAAAGTTATAGCACAATGCTGGCTGGGCACATACTGAACCTTGAAATCAAATAGCCTGAATAGAATGCTTCTGCCTAGAGAGCCCATGGATCTTTTTGTTAGTGCTTAGACTAGCAGATCTTGTTTTTAAAATTAGCTCACTTCCAACAGGGCAGTTATTCCCCAGCTGTCTGAAAATGTTACAGTCTTTCAGTCCTGTTTTATTAGGTTCTTGAAGCACTTTTCCTGTCCACCTTGGCCTCATCTGCTCTTGCTTCAACTCCTTGTGTAAGCAGCTGCTAAACTCTCCTGCTGTATTCAATTCTCTTCACACACTTAACCCAGCCTAAGGATTGTGCAATACCCCATCAGTGCTTGAGAACAAATATGTATACGTTTTGATGAAGAAGGTGACTGATCATGTGATGTTAAGTACAGTGGGTAATATTTTCATTGCCTTTACTTTCTATAATCACTACTCAACATTTGTCTTTCTTTCATGTTTAAAGGGGTATTTTAAAATGTTATAATACCTTTTTCTGAAATATATTCCAGAGATATAAGCCCCACTATACTTGAGTTTATTACTGCTTCTGTTTTTCAAATGAGCTGACAAATGCTTATCTTAAAATTTATAATTTAAGATAAAATAAAGTGGTCCCTACAGGAAGAATAAATGTTCCAGCACCTGTAAAAACAACTCCAATTCTTTTTCTTCTAAAACAGCAATAGTTAATGTGAAAGACTTGTTTCTTCTTCTGCCAGGTTCCAGCTGCTTCATTTTGTTTAAAACTGACTTCAAAGTTTAAACACTATCCTGTCCCAACAAATAACCTTCCCCAGATGGAATTATCCTGAGTACTAGCCTCAGCGCTCTGAATGCCACACCTGCAGTCTTTAACTCAACCTTTCATAAACTTTCCAAAGGGAAAAGATTTTCTTTCTGTTTCCTACCTTATGTCTGTTAGAGAGCTGAATGAGTTCTAAATCTTGGGTGAATTTATACGTTTTAGAAGAATTAAAATCTGCCAGTGGCATTTTTTACTATGCTGATTATTATGAGAGAAAGAAATGGTAAGGAAATTTTAAAAATCTAAAGAGCTCCAAATTCAAGAACTTTTAAGTAATAATCTTACCTGTAAATACAGAGGCAAGATACAAGCTGGGCTCTATCCTACCCATGGCACCCAGTTAAAACGAAGTTTTGTGGATTCCTCCCCAAATTGAAAAGTCAGTTAAGCACAGAAATAATCATGATTCATTCTACTCACAAAGAAGAACTCAAGCCAAACACACGCCCACAGTTCCTCTCATAAAACCAGGTCAACAGAAGTCTGATCTAGTGACCTTAATGCAAAGAAGGAAGTTAAACAGATTTAATGACTGTCAATAGAAAAATGCTTTACCTAATAGATTCTTATCTTTATGTATGAAAGATGAGGAAGGAGGAAGCAAAGGACCATGGATGAAATTGCAATCAAATAACAATTAAATGAATTTTTAAAAATTAAAGAAAGTCATGAGCATTTCTTCCAAGGTTAAATTTTTTCACGGATTCCCTTACCTAAGGGTTCAATCATTACAAAAAGTTTAGAATCTCCCTTTCCCTAGCCAGATTAGGTCATATTGCTCAAAATAACCAACAAAGTTCTCTGGGAGCAAAGACAGCAAGATACTAATAAGCCAAAGGAAAAATTATTATTAAAATGGAATAGGCTGGGAGATGGCTTTTAATTTCTAGGAAATAAGAAAAAGTTAACAAAGAGAAAAATCTGTGGCACATATACAGGTTGAGTGCTCCTAATCTGAAATTCTAAAAATCAAAATGCTCCAAAACTGTGAAAAATTTGAGCCAACCCACATACTTGATGTCATATCATGACCATAGTCACATTGTATGCACATCACCAATATTGTAAGAAATTATCTTCAGGGTATGTGATAAGGTATACTTGAAGCATGACGGAATTTCTCATTTAGTTATGGGTCCCATTCTCAAGAAATCTCTATGTATATACAAAGATTTTGAAATTTTAAAAATCCAATCAAAACATTTCTGGTCTCAAGAATTTTGGATAAGGGGTCTTAACCAATAGTTTTCAGGCCAAAAATACCCTGAATCCCAAGAATTGGACCCATATTGATGACATGCAATAGCCTGTACCCTGAAATATAGCTAATCATCAACCTTCAATAGCTATTGTTTCAAGCAAATTCTTGGAGCACAGTAAAAGGGAAAATGTATGTAATAGAATACAATTAGTATTTCTTTTCTCACTTGCTCTGTGATA